AGAAGGTGGTTTTGCATATGTATATAGGGGTTACTGGTTAAACGGCTTCAAGCTTATTGTTGACAATAAAAGAAGATATTACAAAAAAAGTCCTGTGGCATTAAAAATAATGAAAGATTCACAAAATAATAAGTTTTTAAAAGAGCTTAAAAATTATATAAAATTTAAGAAGTACAGCAATTTTTATTCTTCGAGCGTTGTAAATGTTTTTGGTGTTTCACATGATCCTAAGACACAAAATTATATCATAGTAATGTCTTCATAACTATATAAAAAACAATCGCCATTTAAATTGGGGCAATAAACTTTTAATTCTTTCCAAAATTATTTGGGACTTATATAATATTCATAAAAAAGAAATTATTCATGGTGACTTACATAGTGGCAATGTTTTATGCTTACCCTTTATTAATAATATGAATTCTAAAATTGCAGACTTAGGGTCGTCGATATCTAATAAAGAGTCAGAGTCAGAAGATCCAACTGGAGTACAAGAATATTGTGCACCAGAAGTATTATTAGGTGAACCTAAAACAAAAGAATCAGACATTTATAGCTTTGGCGTCATCATGTCAGAGATGTCAACTGGACAAAGACCTTTCACCGGTTACCAGTCTGATACAAAACTAGCAGTGCAAATTATTCGTGGATTAAAAAGACCCGAATTCGCTAATAGAACACCTGAATGTTATATCAAATTGGCTAAACAGTGCATGAATCGTGATCCGCAAGAACGACCTAAGGCGTCTAATATCTGTTTGAAGCTTATTAGGTGGATTGAAGTTTTGGAAGTTAATATAGGGCCCGATTCAGGATTTGATGATATAAATAGAATTAAAAAGCAATTATTGGAAGATGATGATGTAGATAAAATTAAAAAGCAATTATTGGAAGATGATGTAGATAAAATTAAAAAGCAATTTTTGGAAGTTGACGATGTAAATGAAATTAAAAAACACTTTTCGGAAGCTGACGAAATAATTAAAAAGCAATCGTCGGAAACCGATGAAATAATTAAAACACAGAATATATATAGTAGCAAACTTATAAAGGCAAAAGAAATAAAAAGCAAGCTTCAAATCTTAAGTCAAAAGATAGAGCCCATTGAAATTCAAGGTTAATTTTTTTAACACTTTTGCACTGGCATAGGACATTCCAAATATTGGGGATATCTAAAGCGGGGCAATGCATATATGCGTATAATGTTTTATTGAATTAACTTTAGGGTTAGGTTAAGTTTAGTGTTTCGTACGGACGGGTTTTATTAAGAACCGTTGTAACGAATTAAAATTTATTTTCTTATTTTGTAAATAAAATCTATATTTTCTCGGAAAATTATTCACATGTACATAATTCATTATGTAGTAATTCACCATCCATTTTGATAATATCCAATTTTGGTAAATTTATTGATTTTTTTTGAACATTTCAAATCTTATACTAAATGGTGAAGTAAAAAGTTACGTGCAAAATTAAAGTTAAGAAAACCGCGTTATAGTTAGGGTTAGGACTAGGATAATGTGACGTCTACAAGTAAAATTTACAAGGGACATTTTTCATTAGACCACAGAAGGCGGTTTCCTAATTAAAATTTAGAGCTATTCTTGTTTTTTTTGCTTCGTCTCGATTTTCACGTTACACCTGATCCTGAAATTCGATTGGTCGTTATTACAAGGGGTGGAAAAGTTAGAGGCTTTAATTACAAACATTGTGCAGATTATATGGGTGCCGATAAGGGAAACCTGACTTCGGACTTTCAATTATATTTCGTGTACAGTTAGCCGTCTATGAAAAATCCATCATAATGATAGATTTTTCATAGACGACTAACTGTACACAAAATATAATTGAAAGTCCGAAGTCAGGTTTTCTCTTGGCGGCACTCATATATGTTTAACCACTAATTAAGATTTTTTATACGTATATA